GTAATCTCTGTGCTCTACTTGGCAAAGTTGTTTTCTAGGATCTGTGAGCTAGCAATCATACAATTACTTTACATGTACAAAAACTTAAAGAAGTAGAAATTAAACAACTCAATTAAATGAATAGCAGCTGGTGGGAGTCGGGTTTCAGTTGGAGTGAGTTTACACATAAGCAAGGAAAAGACGTTAGAATGATCAATGGGGTGATGTCTTAAATATCAGCATGAGCTGGGCTGTGGTGACACATGTCTTTAATCCCAACACTTGGGAGGCAGAGGCAGGAGGATCCCTGTGAGTTCAAGGCCAGCTTGGTCTACAAAGCAAGTTCCAGGATGGCCAAAGTAAAAAGAAATGAATAGATTTATGAGCATGAACTCATAAATACAGATGTTATGTATTGAAATAGTTACAGTTATATGTCCACATGCACACATGCATTTCCTTGTCGTATCCAAACGAGCAGATGCAGAAGCAGTGAAATTCCAGTGAGAATGAGCAAAGGCCGGGGCCAGGTGGTAGGTGTGGGCTAATTCTAGGACTGGGGAAGGAAGTAGCCAGTGTGAACTTAGAATGTATTGTCATGCCACAAAGCAGACATGCTGAAAATAAACATCTACAGTGGCGGCACATCAAAGGGAGACAGGAGCACATGGAAAAACGAGCTCCCAGTGTTTACAGCACAAACCACTGCAGCAATAAAATAAGTAGTGCTCACATCTGTGAATCCAAACTTAATGAAATGACTAAACAAATTAGTACATGGGATTGGACAGATTTCAGAAGTTATTTATTTCTATAGAAGGAATCTGAATCAGTTATGTAAGCACTCTATCTTCAAGGTAGGATGGCATAAGTTCTCACTTCCTAAGTGAGGGCTGTATATAGGGACTTCCAATAAGAACTGCGATCAGGGGAGAAACCTGACAAATCTAACTTTTGATGGGTGAACTAGTGATGAGTGGATACATGAACTTGGTATGATATGATGAGGGGGACTGCTTACCTTGGCTGCCTTTCTCTCCCACCCCAACATATAATCACAGTCTAGTAACATCGGACAAATCCCAGCAGCAAAATATCAAAGAATGTCTATGCTGTCATAGCCAAGAGAAGCCAGGACACAATATCTGAATGTAAAATGGCCCTGTGGATATATTTTTGGAAAAAAAAACAGATACTAGGCAAAGACCAATAATTCTGAATAAAGTATGGACTTTAGTATCTTGTACTAATATTGATTGTAACAAGAGAAACAGATTATAGGGCACTTAAGAACTTTGTATGATCTTTCCAAGTTTTTTTTTGAAATAGTAAAAATGTTCTGATAATCAGCCTACCTTCCTATCCACGCCCCAGAAAAGATAATATACCTAGTAACTATCCCCTTTTCCCAGAAGTCCTTTCCTCCATTCAGTCCTTGCAAATCTTCCATTACGAACTTTAGTCTACAGTTTTTTTTTTTTTTCCTGAGTTTTGTTTTGTTTGTTTTTTGAGACAGGGTTTCAGCCCTGGCTGTTCCGGAACTCCCTCTGTGGACCAGGCTGGCTTTGAACTCACAGAGATCCCCCTGCTTCTGCCTCCCAAGTGCTGGGATTAAAGGCGTGCACCATTACCATCTAGCAGTTTTGCCTTTCTCTATCTTTCTGTCTCTTTCTTTTGGGTACTAGCCAAAGCCCTGGGCATGCTTTCCAGATGCTCTGGGCTTCCTCACTAGTTCTCCATGAAGTCTCCTCCCTTTCTGCCTGGCAGCTGCTTGTTGGTCCTGTGGCTGCTGGCTGACCTTCATGACTGATACGGCCTGCTTTCTTTAAACGCTGCCCCTCTCCCTGGCAGCTTGCCTGCTCTGTTGTTTTTCTCTTAAACGCTAATAACATTGTCATCAACTGTCAAAAAAAAGTACAAAGAACCAATTTTATTTTAGAAAATTTCCACTTGTTAAAAGCAGACTAAAGGGTCACTAATCCGTGCTAATCTGCAAACCTTGGGGAAGCAGTTCTAAAAGCTATCTGGGAGAAGTGTGGAGGAATTTGGATATAAAATGGCTCACTCTTGCTTCGTTATGACAGTGGCATTGCGATCACATGGGAGAATGTTCTCACTCTTGTAGGACAGGCACACTGGCATGTTTAGGAATGTCAAGACGTGTGATGATAAATGCTTACAACGTGGCTGAAGTGATTAAGGAAGGAGGGGGAAAAGCCACATGGGAGAACTAAACAACGTGGCAAGAGAATTAGGGATGATGGCACTCCATGGAACATTCCCAGGCTCATCATACGATTCATTCCCATTTCATAATCTTCCAAATCCCAAAATAAATATAAGGAAAATGTTTTAGATATGAGCAAAATGCTAACTAGAGGTTATCTGGAAAAATAAACATTTACGGATAATTAGGAAAAAATCCTCAGAAGGAATAGTGAGGTTTGGACCAGGGAAGCCAAATATGAGAATATGGAGCTGAAGACATAGACCAGCTCCATACAGCAGTTATCTATCATGCTCAAGGATTTGGGTTAGACTCCCCCAGGACCACAAAAAGAAAAAAAAAAAGGAAAAGGAAAAGAAGAAAGGAAGCAGATAGCAATTGAAAACAATTAGAATTTTTGTGTGGCTTTTCTCCCTCTATAGACTGCAAAGTCCAGGAACAGATCTGTGGACATTCAATGTATGAAGACAGCTCTTCCAACCAACATGGGAGAAAAGAACAAATGGGGTTGGGATAATCACCTAGCAACTTGGATAGTAAGTATTCCTATTACTTAAATTCCAAATGAACAAAAGATTTAAAGTGTAAAAGCAAGCAAACAAAAACCCTTGAGCCAGTTTTGGTGGCACACACCTGTAATCTCGGCACTGTAGATAAAGATCGTAGCTCAAAAAAAAAAAAACAAAAAAAACAAAAAAACAAAAAAAACAAACAAAAAAAAAAACAGACAAATGAACAAAACCCTGTTAAAGTGCTGGAAAATTCATTTTTAAATGTAAAAACCTTTCTAGGCAAAGCAAGCTCCCAGTAGCCACAAATACTGATAACTTTTAACTACACAAATACAACAAAATTCAGTAAAACATCACTAAACAATTTTCTCAACTTACAAAAAGCTCAACTGAAAACGTAACACAACCACATAGTTCATTGAAAAGCAAGAGAAAACATGTTCCATCTCTTCCAGTAAAATGCATGAAACCAGCTCAGCAGCGGTGGTGCACACCTTTAATCCTAGCACTTGGGAGGAAGAGGCAGGTGGATTTCTATGGGTTACAGGCCAGTTTGATCTACGGAGTTCCAGGGCAGCCAGAATGTTACACAGAGGAAACCCTGTCCCCCAAAAAATCAAATAAAAAAATAAAATAAATGCAATAAAACATCATAAAAATACAAGATTACAATAATTTACTTTCAGATGATCAAACAAAAAACTGCTTCACATTTAGTATTGGCATGAATCTGGTAAACATTTTCTCTCATATACTGACTGTGGACGGGTGCTGGGTTGAGATTGTCTGAATGTCAGTATGACAGTAGCTACTGAACTGAAAATGAAAAACACCCTTTGATTCAGGAATTCTATGCTAAAATTAACCCTGTGGGCATAACATCATTAAATGAATGTGTATTTTTACTCCAATATGACTTAATAAAATACTGGAAACAATCTAAAAATTCACTAATGTTTGGAATATTATTTGAAAAAACAATAGTGTTTCTGTTTATATTTATATAGAAAGATCTTATAAAATATAACAAACAACATACAAAGGCATAAAGTGTCTGAGTCTATTAATTTAAAATAATGAGGATATGTTGGATGGCAATCAAAGCAGATTACCTCTGCAAACATACGTATTAGAAGGGGAAAAGCTTATTTTTCTAAAACAGGGGGAGTCTATTTATAAATTACACAATAAACAAATATTACACAAATGTGACATATTCACTTTTCTAGCTATCTAGCTGCTCTTTGAGGATATTCTTTGTTACTTAACAAAATGAGTTTTTGATCATTCATCTTTAACCAGGGGCTAATTTTTTAATTTAAGAATTATTTTCCTACAATATATTTTGGTCATGTTCCTAAATTCTATGACTTTCTGCATTAACTGCTCTTTCATTCCATGTGCATATATTGTATTTCCTTTTCCTTCTTAAATAAGAAACATTTTATCAAGATGTTTTGAAATATTCTCCATGAATTTTGAAACTGGCAGTGTTTTCATATTACTGTAGGTAACTGGTAAGTTTAACATATGGGACTTACCCTTAGATTTTCAAAAAGCTTTTGATTATTCTGATATTCCAATCATGATTTGTTATTTTGTGCACGCGTGCCTGTGTGTATAAGCATACAGGATCTTACTACATAGCTCTGGCCAGCTTGGAACTCACTTTGTAGCTCCGTCTTAAAGGCGTGTGCCACCCAGCCCAATCAGGGTTTTTTTGACTGTCATTTTAACTGTATGCTGTATTTGTGATTTCATATTGATGCTAAGGACGAACTCCTGTACAGCGCACTTATTTAGAAGTGACATTATACATGATGAGTGCAAAACCAAAAGTACATTAAGACTTTACATATACAGTGGGGTGTGGTGGTGCACACCTGTAACCTCAGTACTTTTAGGCAGATGCAAGACAATTAGGGATTCAAGTCCAGTCTTGTTTGATTAGTGAGTTTGAGGTCGGTAAAGACTAAATAAATGAAACATCATCTCAAATATGTATGTAATAATAATTAAAGAAAAAAGGCCATGAATTTGAAGGATAGCAAGGAGGGCTACATGGAAGTGATTGGAGGGAGGAAAGGAAAGGGAGAAATTATGTAATTATATTATCTCAAAACATAAAAAATATTTTTAAAGACTTTTAACTAAAGTATGCATTTAGAAAAACAGCACCATACTAAAGAAACACAGTATCATTAGTTCACCTTTTTCTGGAGACAGAGAAGCTGAAGAAATGAGTTTTAAAAGTAAAACAAAACAAAAAACACTACCAAAACCAAGGTGAGACAATCACTTATTTATTGGACAGGGCAAGGTCATTTAAAGAGAGGAAACATATTCAAAAATGGGTTTATTGGTGTTACAGGCATCAAGGCTCACGAACAACAGTATTCAATACATCATGGAAACAGGTCGCATACAGCCAGGAAGATGCTGTCATGTCACTCACAAGTATGCCACAAGTGTTTAGGCGACAATCATTAGAGAGTTACTGTGCATACTTGTCACCAATTCACAATCTTTAGTCCCTGCAGCTGAGCTATTAGCCCGTAGGATTTGGCTACTTCCCTGGTTATGAAGAGTGTTTCTGCATTCTGGAGAACTTTGATTGCATATGTCTCCTACTTTTTAATGTCACTGAAATTAAGTATAGGCTTACCTAGCACTAGCTCACATTGCTGTTTTTAAACTACCCTAGGCAGTAATGGACTATCACACAGTAAATAAATTTCTGTACTGAACGCACTTAGCACTGTTACAATGCACCCAAATCTTATTTAGTTTTATAGTACCGTATTTCAAGAAGATAGCAGAAATTCAATGAAGTCAATTAAAAAAAATGGGCTGTTTACCTGGTCTGAGGTATACAAGCTGTCCATCAAGGTAGACACATTTAAAATTTACTATGTCAATTATTTGCCAAAAATTTAGCATTATTTTTAGCAGGATTTTCTTGGCTGGGTAGACAAGAATATATTTTTAATACCCATTGTACAAACTAAATAAATATTAGAAGCAGTAGTATAGAATGGATGTTTGGCTAGAAGGAAAACTAGTTTATGTAAGAAGATTAACCAAAGAGTCTGTCAGGTATTGGCTTTCCCTCTTTAAATCCATTAATTTATCAACTACTGTTTTTTTCTGTGATACTAAAGATGAACCTGTTAGACAAGTTCTCAATCACCAGCCCCTCAACCACCTCCTCACACTGTATTGAGTTCTGGGTTCTCAAGATGAGTGTTCACTCCACATAGGAAGCCATATTTAGGAAACTGTTTGCAAAGACTAACTATTGCATTAATTCATTTTCAGTGAGTGATCAGATTATACAAATATAGACTATTGGTTCTCCAGGACCTAGGTGAGACACACTGGGAGGAAATCAGAGATGACTACTATAGAGTACAGGGCTTCTTTGGGGGTAGTAAAATGGCCTGGATTTATCATGTAGTTGAACAATTTTGTGAGTATATTAAATGTTACTTAATTGTACCCTTTCAAATTGGTATAATTTCTTTAAAGATAAGGTCTCAGTGTGTATCTCAATCTGGCTTTGAATTTGTGTGACAACTTTCCTGCCTTGGCCTCCTGAGGGTTAGGATTACAGGTGTGAGCCGCATCAGGCAGCTCTACCCTTTAAAAGAATGAAATTACAAAGCGTGTAGATGAATTCTCAGTAGCATTGTTATGAAAACACATTAAGAAGGGAAGACAATCCCCCAAGGGAAGAAAACAAGTAATAGTCAAGAAGAATGGTAGAAAGCCTGGCCTACAGCATGCTTCTTGCATGCCGTTTTGATTTCACTATCATCATGTTAGTTCTCGGATTCACTTTTATTGGGGGGGTGGGTTTCGGGGTTAAGACAGTAATTCACTAAGATAGCCCAGATTTGCCCCAAACTTGTGATCCTGCTTCAGCCTCCTAAGTGCTAGGATTACATGCACATGCCACCACACCTGGCTTGACTTCACATTTTTAGACTGTTTCTAAATTATTGTAGGCAATCAGTAGATTTCTGAGTAGAAATTTCTGAATAGAGTCAGTGCTACATAGACTTAGCCAAACGAGAGTCACAATCTCATGCCAAGGGGCTGGGATGTAGCTCAGTTTCTAGAGTGCTTGCTTAGCATGCATAAGGCTCTGGGTTCAATTCCCAGGAAGCAGAAAACCAGGTATAGTGGCAGCACCTATAATCTTAGCACTTAGGAGGTGGAGGCATGAAGACCATCCTTGGCTACATAGTGAGGTTGAGGCTAGCTCAGGGTTATGTGAAATCTTCTTTACAGACAAAAAACAAAAACAACAAGAGCAAATCGATGACAATAATCTTGTCCTTTGAGGCTATGCCTCACTGGGTAGAAAGGCTGAGGTTCATTGCTAATGAAAAAATATGCCAGCAAGTGTAGGAGTATCTGGATATCAAGACCCTGCTTGAAACAAACAACAACAACAACAACAACAACAACACACACACACACACACACACAAACAAATGAACAAACGAAATCCGCAGTTATTCCCTTTACACCTATATAATTTAACAAAATTCATATGTTGATGCTTGTAGAAAGCAATAAGCTCTACAAAGTAATGTTGAACTTATTAGTTTCCTAGCTGAAAAAGCTATTCCAATTTTCCTAAGAGTTAAGATTACTGTTTCTGAAAAACATTCAATGCTATGTCCTTATGCTCACCTTTAGCACTGTAGTGAAGATGGAAAATGCCAAGCCAGCTCTCAATCAGAAGCTACAAAGCAACTTCTTAAATGACCTTAACTTTCTGAGAGAACTAAAATAGACTAGCTCCAAATATTTAGAACATATTTGGCCCAATTTCTTTGCATATGCCTTTAGATTACATGAGACATTTCCTTTATTTTCACTAATTTGCTAGTTTAGTATGAAATAAATAAGCCAAAAGACTTTGAATGAACAAAACTGGTTAATGGCAATCAGTTTTCCTCATACTATTCTACATAGGCAAGATAATGAAGTCAGAAATTATCTTTTTGGTCTACTTTCAACTAGTCTTTCATTATATAATCAGTGAAAGTTTAACAACAAAAAACATGAGTAGTTTTACACACAGCAAGATGAAGTTGTTAAATATATGTTATGACAGAATTTCTCTGACACAAAACTTGCTCACTGCACACAGAATCTCATAGTGATCAAACAAGTCAGCTGATATTAGAAGGTATCTGAGAATGAGGTCTGGAGAAAAAAACATTCATAAATTGGCAAGTATCCATAAAAGCAGAGTCACTTTTTAGGGGACCTAAGAAAAACTGCAAAATCATCATTTTGGTCTTCTTAAAGAAGTTGGTCTAATAAGAACTAAAGACCATTTGACTCTTGTGCTGCAAAATGCAGGTGTTAAATGGTTTTTTCAGGATTCCTAAAACCTGTAGTGCAAAAAGAAATCTACAAAAATAAATAATCACAAAAATCCCAACATTTTTCTGGGAAATGTGCTCGAAACAGTGACTTTTACAAAACATGGGAATTGTTTTAAATGAACAAAAAACCGCTATACGAAACCTCAAAGACTCATTTCACAGATAACTTATACACCATTTGATTTCAACAATGTACAAACAAGGGCCACAGATTATTTTTATTAGCTCTGAAATAGCAATATAAATACTGATGTTGGGGGAAGTTTTACACCCCAAACTCCAATACTCAATTCTGTGTCTGTCCTGTTATTTAATTTGTAAAAAGCTTAACGGCGCAGTGAGTCAAACTTTCTTAACTTCAATGATGTGTTAGAGGACAATGCATCGAGGTTTGATGAATTTGTTGCATCCAAAGGCCGGAATAGCACTCGGCCACGATGATTAAACACATAAAAAGATGGATGATTCCTTAAAGTATCAAATGTCCTTAAAAAGAAAAAAAAAGCACCAATTTTAGATAAACCTTTATAAAATCACATTTGAAAAATAAGCAGGCTTCTAATTAATTATGAATTTGCTGTGAATTATATTTTACATAAGAATAAATTGGAAATTAATTTAGAAATGGTAATCACACTGCACAGCATATTTTCACTATGCAAAGAATGTAAAAAACTTGGAAATGCCCATAAAGTTCTCAGACTTTTTCTTCCTGGGTACCTATCAATAATAACAAATAGTAGATGAACTTAGGTCATCTCTGTAAAACTTAACAGTAGCTTATGATAAATCATCTTCCAAATGCTAGCATACAGACTATACCTCTGATCCTTCATCCCTAAGCCATAGACATGTCAAGGATCCGTTTTTCAAGAACAGTGCAAAATTCCTTTTGGCCTTCTGTATGTACTATCGGCTAAACTCAACTATTTTGCTGTCCCCTGCTTGACACCATTTGGTTTGGCTCCTTTCTTTCCTGGCCTCTTGCCTGAGATCCTTGGAAGATGCTCCCAGTGAGATTTGTATCATTCAAAAAAGTCCATAAATGTCCTGAGATATGAGCTTTTAGAGTTTGCTTTTAAATATTAATTTCCTGAAAAGAACCAGAGAATCTTCTCTTTATGGTAGAAAATTTCAAAGGTAGACCCACTTAACCATATAAATGGAAATAAGAGGGTCTAGAGAGGTAGCTCAAGGGTTAAGGATGTATACTGTTCCTGCAGAGCACCAGGGTTTAGTTCCCAGCATTCACGCTGGGTAGGTGACTCATACTGCCTTTAATTCTAGTTCTAGGTGAATCTAATTCTCTGTGCCTTCCACAGGCACCTGCATGCACATAGTGTATATAAACTCATGGAGCAACATTTATGTATATAAATGCAAAATAATCTGAAAATAATATATTCAAATAGTGAAGTAAATGGAGGGGGAATAACTTCCTCCAGTGTACAGATGTTTACTGTGAGTTCTTCCAAGAAAATATTATAAAGGGTTATTATTTCTGGATAAAGAAGGTAGGGGGAAAAAAGAAGGTAGGGAAAGTCCTGAAATGGAATTTAACAAACTTAAGTAAAAATATGGGGCAAGTAAGCAAACAAAACTCAGAAGAAACATCCAGAATAATGATGCTCTTTAATCCAAAGAAAGGAAAAGGGCCAAGGGCACAGTTTAGGTCACATCTTAGGTTCAAATGGACAGAGGAAACAGAAAATTCAGTTATTCCTCCAAAGATGAAGCTGGGACAAGAGGGTAAAAGAATAAGAAGGAAGAAGACAGAAAGAGGAAAGGAATACATAAGAGGGGAAAAAAGGGAAGGAACCTAGCTAATGCTTCTAAGCTATTATCTTTCTTTATATCTATTTTCATCCATCTATCACATTCTAACCAACCAGTAATTTTAGGTCACTAGCAGTAACCACAGTCTAATACCTTGTTTTTTACTTTTGTCCTTTTATGGTTTTGTTTTGAATCAGGCTCTCTCTATGTACAGCCCAGGCTGTCTTGGAACTCACAGTCCTCCTGTTTCACCCTCAAGAATACTGAGCTTACAGGCATGTGCCACTATACCTGGCTTTCAACTTCCACTTGTCCTAGGAGACCAAACACTGACCTAGTACCTTTGCCTCATTACTCCTACAAACTACATAACCAAAAGGTAAAAATGAAACCAACTTTAGTATAGCTGAAATCACACTATAAAGTGTGCACACAAAACAAATCTCTCTGAAGTTAAATGCTTCTGGAAAGGAACTTACTTATTCTTTAATTCTGAAGTGGCATCCATGTCTTTGAACTCCCCTGCGATATGAACTATGCCATAACAGGTAACTGCAAAGGCCAGAAGTGTCTGAAGAACTATCTGTGAGTACAAAGTTGCAGATTAACAAATAGCATATGAATACTGTTTGAAAAATTGACAATCCACTTCTCCCCTCTGTGCAAGTTTTAACAAGCATTCTTCAGGGCCACTCACCAAGGAGTCAATTCTTGAAATGATTTCCACTCAGACACAATAAAATTTTTTAAGTACAATAATATTTGCAATGTTTTCGGAAGTGAGCTTAGCATTATGCTCAGAGAAGCATAGTACCAAACAGTGTCTGCTTCCAGGAGCAAACAAAACTCTTTTTTTTTTTTTTTGTTATTTTATTACTGGTCAGTATCAAGAGGGCACAGAGTATATGAGCACAAATGCAATAAAAAAGTATCACGTACCCACCTGCCAACCAACTAAACTTTCAGTCCTTCCCTTCTCTTTTAGAAACAGGATCTCTTCAGATACCCCAGATGGATAACCCACAACCCTCTGACATCAGCCTTTTCAGATTCAGCAATTGATACATACCACCAAACCTGGCTTTGCCTCTATAATCCCTGACCCATTAATTCCTTTCCTTCCTTCTTAAAGTTAACTACTTAATTGTGCATTAATCGGTTCCCTGGCTGTTTTGGGCAATGTTCCTTCCTGTTTTTGAACAACTTATGAACCTCTAAAACACATTATTGTTTATTTTTACTCATTCTGAATCTCATTTAAATGCACTCAAATACATTCTTTTGAGACTAGCTGTCTCCCCTCAACATTATTTGTGAGATTCATCCCCACAGCAGTAGTCTGTTCCTTTTCATTGTGTTTAGTACCTATCATATGAAAACACCACAATTTATTTCATTATTCTTGGGAATGTGGGGTGTTTCCTGTTATTTTTACAGGGCCAACATAAATATTCCTACATGTCTCCTGGTACACAGGAATGGAAACTCTGAGTACAGATTATGTATGGGTTCAGATATATTACATAACTCCAAACTGCTTTCCAAACAGGTTGTGCAAACAACAATGTTTAATTTCATGTTTGAAATTAACCAACCCAGGATTATGGGCCGGTCTATTTTCTTAACTATGATTACATGATTTTTTTATTTTTAAATTTGCCAATTGAGAATCCCAAGAAAGCTATTTTAAATAGATATAAAAATTCATGTGTATGTTTGTATAAGCTACCAAAAAGTAAAAGGTGAAAGAAGGGTAAGTTAATAGCCAAATACACTATGTCTTTAGTTAAAAGCAGAGAAATAATTAGTCACAAGCTATTAATGTCTAAATTAAAACCCAACAGCATCTGAAATGTTACTTTACATTCCAACCACCAATATACTAAAGAGACTGTCTTGTTTTGTTGTTGTTTTTAAGACAGGGTCTCAGTTTAATGTTGCTGTGGAAAACCTTGAGCTTCTGAGTCTCCTGTTTCTACATTCCAAGTGCTAGGATTTCAGATGCATGCCACCAGGCTTCATTTATTTGGGTATAGAAGATCAAACACACATATTTGTGTATACCAGTCAAACACTACTGAGGTACATCCCTAACCCAAGGAGATTGTGTTCATATTAATACAATTAGCAAAAATGTGGCACATCAATGAACTGTCATAAAAATATGCTTCAGAAAAATTATGTCCAAGGAAAACTAACCATACAGTAGGTACAGCCACACATACTTATAATCGCAGCACCCAGGAAATGAAGGCAGCAGAGTCAAGAGTTTCAAGGCCAGTTTTGGCTGTATACAATTTCAGTGCTAGCCTAGGCCACACAACCTGTCTCCAAAACAAAACAAAAACCAAAGCTAGCTAACTACAAGACTACATGTATACTTATTATTGAATAATGACTTTGGGGGCTCTTCCCTGGCAAAGACTGTGTCTCCTACTCTCAGCATTCCTTAGTTGTCTGTGATTCTTTGTCTCATGCTGAGGCTCCATGGTCATCCCTTAAATCACATACATACAATTAACATTACAGGAACTGAGCATATATATCCAGAAATATATACATCTGTGTGTAACAACAAGAAATATAGGTCACGAGACCTATATTTGAGCGAGAGCAAGGGGTGAGTGCATGGAAAGTGTTGGAAGGAGGAAAGGGGGAATTGATATATTTTAATTTCAAAAACAATTTTTAAACTACATACACGCATACATCATGCTTTTATAAAGGATCTAGTTTCAACCTTAACTTTGTTGTTTGTTTCACATTTATAGAGGGAAATACTGGGGCCACAGTGTAAGGGTTCAAGTCAGGGACAACTTGTACAAGTTGGTCCTCTCCTATCATGTGGATTCCAGGGATTAAATTCAGATCATCAGGCTTGGCAGCAAGTGCTTTTACCCACTGAGACATCTTTACCACTGAGACATCTCAACAGCTCCCAAAAGCTGTTGGTAAAGCAAAGTACATGTGCCTAAGACAACACTGTATATACATAGGAAAGAGCCTAAACTCTAATATCCTTTAAACTATTATGAGTAAATATGAAATTGCCGGGAATGCTATCATTTCTGTTGCTCCCATGGTTTTAATTTTGTGTGATTAGTTTATATTTTTTACAACTATTGTTTAATTGTTACAAATAACTTACCTATTTTATAAGTTTAAATCTAATAATAACAAATTATAAGTCAAATGGGGAATAGGCATTAATTCAGGTTAAAAGCCACCTTCTTTAGGTTTTTTTTTTTTTTAATAATTGATCCCTGTCTGTAAGTAATGTGCTGTCAGCATGGCTTCATTTTCAAGGGAACTATTGAGTCAGTAAAGTGGTTGACTGGGTGAGGATGCGTGTCATCAAGTCTGATGACCTGAGTTGTTTCTCCCCTGGGACCCAAATGGTGGAAGAAAAGAATTGAATCCTGCTGATTGTCTTTTGACCTCCAAACTTGTGCCATGTTATGAATGCCCACACACATAATAAAATATTTAAAAAGGAATTTTTATAAAAACTTAAGCCAAATAAGAATTTTAAAGGCTATGTTATACTGTGGATACAGAAACTTCTAGAAAGACCCCTCATTTCCTACTTTTTTTTTTTTTTTGGACAGACGAGACGATCTTACTCTGTAGTACAGGTTGACCTCCGACTCACAGCAATCATCATGCCTCAATCTCCCAAGTGCTGTGATGATAGCTGTGAGCCACCGTGTCTGAGAAAAAGATATAATAAAGAAAATTTTAAGATTTCAAAATCTTTGGATTTTATGGAGTAACAAAAGCAGGTAGCAGCTGGGCAAAATATCACAGGCCTTAGTCCTAGCATTCAGAAAGAGAGAGGAAGAGAGGTAGAGAGGCAGATGCAGAAAGATCTCTGTGAACTTAAGACCAGTTAGGTCTATATAGCAAGTTCCAAGTTGGCGAAAACTACACAGTGAAACTCTAGTTCAAAAAAAGAAGCAGGTAAAAGATGTCATATCGTATGCTTGAAAATGATAAAAAGAATAATAAAATAAAATAACATAAATTACCATAAGCAAAGTAGCCAACTTTAAAAATGTATTTAATGGAATATAAATGACCAACTTACATCTATCGGTAGTGATTCATCTTCCTTTTCTGTTAGTCGCATATAAGAACGATCTGTAAACCAGAAACATACCATTAACGAAATTGTAGTCTGTTTTCCGTTCTTAAAATGCAAGAAAATCAATACACCAAAGAAGTGGCTGACTTATATATTATATAATGTAATGCTAATCCCAGATTCCTCAAAAACCTCTTCCAATGAAGTCAGCCTTGTCTTTATGAATTAATTTATGCTTGCCATGGCCTGTCTTTATCACCATAAATGAGTGACAGATGGCCAAGTCTGAAACAAAAAGACTAAGCAAAATGTTTCATTCATTAGTAAAGAAAATCCACACATTCTCAAATTTCTTTCACTAAGTAATCAAAGAAGTCATAATTAATTAACAAACAATAGGACTACAAAAATCTTTAATGCTGAATGCCACTGCCACAAGTGAAAATTGGTACGGAAATGTTGCTCTTTTTTGTAGTGGTATAATTGGAGTTTCAGGACATCAATTTCTGTCCCTACTACTACTACTTAATACAGTTGCAAGGGATCAAAGGATCAGGATTTGGAAGCTGGTAACCCTGAATCATACACAGCACCAGCTCTTCTATTTACTATTACTTACTGTACCTCACTCTAAACATCCTCAGCAATGCCAACATTTATTTCAACTGTAGATTGTTCAAATGTGTAAGTGTTCCTTAGACTCAAAGATACAGACCCATTCAACTGTCTGAGTTTCCTCAGTGGTAACAATGGGAATGTGAAAGTTAAATAGGATTTACTAAGTCCACGATCGTTGCACTACTATATTAAAGGTTACTGTAGCAGAGATGAGCATGCCACAATACCACAGAATGCTATCTGATGCCACAATTTCACATGACACAACTAGTGTCAAAGGTAATGCCAGTTAGTCTTTTGCTAGCATGAGCATTGCAGTGGTCTTGCTGCAGTCACAAATACAGAATGCATTCTAACCCCTTGAAAAATATAAAATACAAAAATCTTAATTCTAGATTAAGTAGGACAATTCCTACTTCATTATGTACTATAGACTTAAAATGCCCAAGTTGTTTTGAGTTGAATGTGTTATGACTCTGTTAAAAGGGTATATTTTCAGGAGTAAGAACAAAACCCACTACCAAAAGTAGTTTTGAATTAACCTTCTAACATTCCACTTCTAGTCTCACATGACACTGTAACTACACATGTTTTCATTGTTGAAATGAGGACGTTGGTTTTCAAAGGGCCTTCCTTGCTCTATGACTGTATAATAGAGACGAAGTTTACTTCAAAAACACAGTACTCCAGTGTATCCTAATCTCCTCCAGGACAGTGATTCACAAAGTAATGTGCATGTAAATCACCCAGGGATCTATTAAAACGAAGATTCTGATTCAATAGGTCTGAGGTGGAGCCTGAGTGTCTACTAACAAGCTCCCAGGTGATGTCTATGGTGCTGGCCTATTGACCACACACACTATGAGCAGCAAGGTTCTAAGACACTTTTTGCGGGTCCCACCAAACTATTAATCCTCACAAACATTTACACATACACACGCTCAGTCCTTTAGCACATCCATATTATGTTACTGGAATGATTTCTCCACTAGCCTAAGAATTCCCTTACGGTCCCGCGGAACCTCTAGCATCTAAAAGTAGCAGCAACTTCAATAACTGATCTGAGAAAAAAAAATTAAAATCCACCATATAGCACGTTAGCTTCTGCCCAAGGTCATACAGATTTAACAGTTGAGCAAAATCTTAACAACTAACCCTTTAATGCTACCGGTCCACTGCTTTTTCCCCGTGTCACACTGCCTCCCTGAGGCAAACGGTCACTTAACTTCTCAGACTCTGCCTGGACAGCAGAGCGCCCAGGATGCTCTCTCCCGAACTGCCAGGCAGCCCCAAGCATTCAAAGTTCTCAATCCCACACTCTGTCTCATCCGCCTTTGCTGGATCTGACACCTCGTGTCCCGAGTTCTGGGGCAGACTCCGGCTCGAAATTCTCTCAAATATCGGCAAGCCCTGCTAACCTTTGTGTCGCCCAGGTGTTCCACAGCCCTCCGATCTTAAGCCTTTCACCGAGGACCGTGAACCGCTTTACTCAGTCACCCCAAACTAAAAGGTCCCTAACGCCTGTCCCTCCGGCACTGGGTCCCACAGTTCCTCGGGGAGTGCCCCCACACAGCTCTAGGTTGTCCCGCACGGAAGAAGTCCCTGTCCTTCAGGCACTTACGCTGAGCAGCTGAAAAGGCAGCGTGGGCTAGGGCAAAGAGGCCGACGCCGACAAGCCCTTTCCACAGCGATGGCGCCATGATTCGCAAGGAGCGGCAGTTCAACAAAAGGAGGCGAAGGGCGGTTGAGCTATTCGCTCTTTCGCCGGCGGGCGTCCACGAGGCGCAGGGACATGACGTCACCAAAGCCCTGGGCGCGAAGTGCCGGGTGGCGCAAAACTCACTGAGCCATGAGAACCCGGAAAAAGGAATGCTGGGAAGAAGGAGAGCGCGACACGGAAAAAGGTCCTGGGAGCCTCCTCCGAGCCTGCGCAGTGCCGCTTCTCTGAGAGGGGCGGAACTGAGTCGAGGGCGTGAACGAACAGGCCAAGCGAGACCAATGGGGAGACGAGAAGAGCGCTGGCAAATGAGCGCTGGACTCGGGTAGGGGCGGGGCTTACGGGAAGAGCCAGGAGGAGAAGAGGGCGGGGCTGGTGGTAAAGAGAATCCTAGCAGTTGGTGTTTGCAAGTTGGCTAATTAGTTGATTTGGTTTCCTTTGGAATCGATCCCTTTGCTGTCGTGAAGCCTTCGCTTTGCTTCTGGCCTCGGAGAGCTCGTACTGAGGAAGGTTGGGAGGGCATTAACTTGAGGAGGTGTGGAGAGAGATAACTTGGTGGGGTTGGAACCCTGAAAGCTTGGCTTGCCGGAGACGCTTAGAGAATTAATTCAGCTTCTTACGTTTCTACTTTACTTTTCTTTGAGAAAGATCCACCCGAAAAGAACTGTAGCGTACCGGAACTGTTTTGTCGTGAAGAACGCCAGCACCCATTAAGGAAAAAATAAGACAACCAAGGGTTGTTTAAAACATTGATCAGGATCCAATTGTAACCTCTTTTCTCCGCTTTTGTCTTCATCTCCGAAAACGTAGGCATTCAAAAGTGAGGGCTTCCCTTGGTCTCTTTTTGCCCTGCTCTCTGTTGACAAGCTCATTAATTCGTTTTCACTTCAGACCTGCGTAAATACTACAATGATTCCAAATGAACAACTGTATCTCGAATACCACTCCTTAGCTCCAGGTCAGCACTTCCAGCTACTCATTGCTGGATATTTATTTGCGTGTGAGTAAACCCCGTGGCACTGAAATTTATGTGGACAAACGTAACTAATCCCCTCAACTCTATATAAAGTTCCTTCAGTGCCCTGCTAAGTGGCACAGCTTTGTAAACTGCGTGTTACAAAGTAAAGGTAAAGCATCTTTACAATTCTTTCCCATCAACCTCTACAGAACAGTTCTGTGAGTCAGTTGACTCTCCAGTGCTTGTTCAGTGATGCTCATCATGCCTTTTAAATTTGAAGCATCCCCACTTGTGATCTCCTTAATCTACTCTGACTTTATATCGCCTTCTAAAATCTATCATTTATTTACCATGTTTGTTATGTTACTGTTGTTTGCTGCCTCTCTTCCCACTCTGGAATGTAAGCTGCAAGAAGACAGATTTCTCTGTACATAGAACATTGACTGTCAAATAGTAGAAATTGAATGCATACCTGTTGAATAAAGAATGAATAAATGTCGGGAAAAAACTGAAAGTGATTTTATCACTGAAAAGATTTTGGAAAGATTCCTCTTAGTATTTTGAATCGTGCTTTTAAAAAATCCTTGTAGTCTTTTGGTATACTTGGATTTCTTCAAATCTGGAAATTAAGGCATGCAAGAATCAGCATACTTCCTTAAGCTTACCTATATCATTTTTGTTCTGCATCACATTATTCAAACATTAAGTTATGGTCATTACTGTTCTCTGGCCCCTCTTCACACATTTCTTGGTCAATCATATACAGAGCTGTCAATAAACATCACAATCAGAACAATCAAACAGCCAGTCACTCTTCAGTTGGCAGGAGAATGTTTTTTTTTTTCCTCAAGGCTTGGATTGTTGCAAGATAGAAAATACAATTTTAAGACAGACCAAACTTTTGTTTTAGCTTAGATGATGGCCATAAAAAATTGTCAGGTGACCTAATAGCAATTTATCTAAAGCAGAAAATGATGAAAAGGTTAGAGGGTTTTGAGAGGAAAAAAGATGGGGAGGAAAGGAGACAGAGACTGACTCTCACTGTAGTCTCTGCTGGCCTTGGAATCATAATTGAATTTTTTGTGCCTTATCCATCTACCCAGTGTTGGTTGTTGTTGTATAACACCATGAACAGCTTAGAGTTTTCTTGAAGTGTCTTGAATACTGGGTCACTTCTGTTTTGTTTTTAAAGGAGGTTATAGAGAAATACACCCACTAAGAAGTCTGGTATTTTTTATAAGCCACCAGTACATTTTCCTAGTCTTTAGGGAAGTGACTTGGTTCTAGAAAAACAGTCTTGCTGTTTGTTAACTTAAGGTACACTTGCATCTCTCCCCATCACACAATTGCCCTCTTTCATGCATTTACCACGTTTTAAATGTTTTATCTGTATATCAAATACCAGACTACTAGCAGAGTTTTATGTTTTCTTGTCACACACTGTTCCATTGAGGCCATGCGGTTGGTTTTGAAACAGGGTCTTGTTATGGTGCCCAGGCTGGCTTCAAACATTTGGGCACCAGTGGTTCTTCTGCCTTACCCTCCCCAGACCCTAAAGGACTACAGATATATGCCACTTTGCCTGTGGAACAGCATTTCAATCATCTGTAGGGAAATCAAGGTGTTCATAGTTACAGAGAAACTAGAATCCACTCAAACATGGTTGTGCAGGTTGGAATTAATCTCTGAGTACAAGATACAACTAGTGACAGCACTGTTTTCCTGAGTTCTTAGGAAAAAAATCAAATTGCATAAAACATAGTATTTAAATTCCTAAGTAACCACAGAAATGCCTTAATTATGCCCCTTCCTAAAATCCATATTATTGGAGGTGGGGATAATAATAGCTAAAGTATTTATAGAGGAATGTTTCCCTGCTTCATGTGTTGAATAGAGAAAAGTGTCCTAGCATTGGACCTTTGTTTCATACCATCCAAGTTTGTAAATATCTTCAGATGTATATTACTTGTGTACATTTCAAACTCTCTCTCTCTACATATATATATATATTTCCCTTTATCTGCCATACTCTGACCTAATTTGAAAATTCACCTTTCCTGCAAATATGTTCCTATTACAAATATCTATAAGAAAAATATGTAGATTGTATGTACTCAAAGGGGTTATCAGATAAGAGTGCTTGCTGCCAAAACTAATGACCACGGTTCAATCCCCAGAACCCACATGGTTGTAGGGGAGAGAATGAATTCCTTAAAGTTGAGTATAGTGAATGTACACACACACACACACACACACACACACACACAATGAATTAAATATTTTTTATAAAACTTTCTAGAACAGTATCTCTGGATAACCAATTATAGAATTCTATTGCCTTCTAGCCAAACTTGTCCACCCTTCTCCTTCCCTTCCTCCCTCTATCCTTCCCACTTCATGGACTTACCTGCAAACAAGGACTTGCATTGCATGGATCTTTCTCAGACAAGGAATCAAATCAATAAAACAGCAGAAATGGAATCTTTCACACAGGCAGGTCTGCCACAGACCTATACAGGTTTTACCTAACACATCCGTCACGCAAATAGTGCTTGTCCAGGTTCTCTAAAGACATGTAAGTAATCTGCCAGAGAAGAATTCACACATTTTTAAACAACAAAAAAGCAGGACAAAGCAGAATTCCGGTCTTTTCCCTTCAGCCAGGCAGATCTATAGCCATTATCAGAGCTTATGCCTTTCCCCAGGTGGCTCCTGGTGGCCCTAGGGAGCTCCCTAGCTACCAGAAGTGGTATCCAGGACCCTGGTTTGCAGCTCTCCCTGGGAAGCTGGCTAGCATCTTCAAAATTGACATTGTATCTTCTTATTTTCTTCTTACAGACATAGTGTGTACTTGGAAGAACTTCAGACAAGAAACAACAAAATATGTATCTCAGGAGATCTAAGTAGAAAAAAAAAGAAAGAAAGAAAGTAGCAGTTGGCATTTTGAGAAATCTAATTTTTTAAAAGATTGGATTTACAGGACTCATGGCTTTGAGATTTGTTCGCTGAATCACTTGTGCTACAGTAGTTTTCAGGAGCATGAACAGGGGACTGAGGTGGGGTTTGGAGCCTGGATTTCCCTTCTGTATGTCTAGGAGATTGAAGGAGTTACTCATCTCTGTGCTTCGGTTCCCTCACCTGTAACTTGCAGATAGCCATAGTGTTCATTCAATGCGCTGTTGTAAGGATTGAGGTTGGTGATGCCCGGGAGGTGTGCTTGGCAGTGCTGGGAATCGAACCTAGGGCCTTACACATGCTGAGCATACACACTGAGCTGCATCCTTAGTCATCTACTTTGTATCAGCTAGCTATTTTTATTCCTACCTTATGCAGTAAATTAAGACCCTATTACATTTTGGCACTGTTTTTGTTTTGGTTTGTTGTTTGTTTGTTAGGAGAGTGTGGTTCTTTGAATGAGAAATATTCCCCATAGGTTTGGGTATTTGAATACTTGGTTCCGAATTGGTGGTGCTGTTTGGAAAGGTTTACTTGGTGCAGCCTTGGTGGAGAAAGTATGTCACTGGGGGCTGGCACTGAGATTATATACTCCTTCCCTACTTCTCATATGCCCTCTCTGCTTCATGTTTGCATTAGAAGATGACCGCTCCCAGTTCCCTGTTCCTGCTGCCTCGTCTGTTCCTTGCTGCTATGCCTGCCCAGCATGGTGGGCTGATAACCCTCTGGAACTAGAAGCCAAAAGAAAGTCTCTCTTCCTTAAGTTGTGTCTGGCCATGGTGTTTGTCGCAATGACAGAAAAGTAGCTAATACAGAGAGGTCACAGAATCCCACCGTGGAACATGAGCTGGTCTCAAAATTTTGTTGCTCCTACCTCAGCCTTCTGAGTCCTGGAATTACAGGTGTGTGTCACGATAGGAAACTACTTTTCTAAACTCCTAGTTGCCCTCTCAATACTCATCTCTTTGCATGTAATTTATTCCCTTTTCTGCTGCCAAACCTGAACTGGGGAGAGTTTTGAATGGGAAACAAATGAGCTAAACATTTCAGTTGTGTTGTAGATCTTCTGTAATGTGAATTCAACCAACCTTCCCCACCATTCTCCCAGCACATGAATTAGTTAACCCACTGTTTATCAGGCACTTCCAGTGAACTAAAGATTGTGGTGAGCATGACTGAACTTATCGGTGCTTTTCAGTTATCAAGTGT